AAAACTCAGTTTTTCTGCTCTCCACTTAATTTTTTCTGTTGGCTTTTTAGGCAGTTGCAGAAAAAGAAAGTAAATAACAAGAAGCAAATATTTGCAAAAAAAATTTATAGATTCATCTATAAGTAAATTGAAAAATGTAAAAATGACATTAAAACCCGATAATTGAAAAAACTAATTTATAAAACGGAAGAAAAAAAATAAATAGAACGGTTGAACAGTTGAAAAACAAAACAAAATTTTATCTCTCAAATAAACAGAATTGATGGTAATACGACGGGAAAAAAGCTACTTATTCGATTAAGCCAAAATTTAGAACCAGAAAAAAAAATAAAGCAAAACAAGAGGTCTTTCTTTAGATGGTTCACTGAAGAAAGACAATGGATTTCTGCTTAGAAGAGACCGTTGCCGACGGTAAAGCTGCGAGACGTTGTCACCATTTTTGTGCTCACCAAAATACATGGAATCACTGTAAGTGGCAGAAGAAAAAAAAGTAGAGGAGAAGAGAAAAAAAGAAAGAGAAAGAGGAAAGAAGAGAAAAAGAAAAAAGGAAGAAAGAAGAGAAAACGAAGAGGAAAGGAAAAATGGAAATTGGGTAAAGGAGATGTATTGTATGGCTGAAGGAGGCGGGGGGTTGGTGAGGTGCAATGAAAACGTGGAAACGATGAAGTGGGAATAATGAAGAGGTTGGTTGAACCAATTTCGGCTCATTTTTAGTTCATCTTCAGTCAAAGCATAATTTATTTATCCTTCTTATTATGCCGCAAAACAGTACTCATGGACAAAAAATGAGGATAAAAAACGCAAATAAATACAGAAGCTGTCCGTCGGTCGCTTTCACCAAAAAATCTTTTTCATGCTGTCCAGTCGGACAACCAGCCTCAGTAATCCTAGTTTGATAACATTTTTTTTTTTGTTAGACTATTTCCTCTTCTTTATTGTCGTCCTTGTCATCGTTTTCACTAAACCCAAGTGATGCACAACGAAACCGGTAGGCGATTGAATTTGTCGTTCATTAAGCAATGAATTATCTTTAAAATGCAATTCACCGAAAAAAAAAAATTTCTTAACGGTTTTCATCATCGGTTGACTACTGTTTGCGATTGGCATCTGAATGAGGAAAGGTTCTTTAAAGCAACGACAGGAACAGAAAGAAAGAGAAGAAGACTGGAAATTTTCAGTTATCTCTACACCTATTGAATGACAATTCAGAAAAAATTAGTATCATTTCTTTTTTGTCATTTTTTTAAAGACTAGTTCGGTCTATACAGTCACTACTTCCCGTCACCCTCCCTTCCCTCTCTCCTCCGCTGCTTTCCTTTCTTCGCAATAACAATAAATAATTTATCAAAAATTTTCCACTCTACTTCTGTCAAGGTTCCTGTATGAATCGGTGTTGAAGAAATTTCCGATAACACAATTGGAAAAACGGTATTTCCAGTAATATTTATTTATTTATCTGCTTTTGATAATCAGTCTTAGCAAATCATCAGATGGTATTCTGAGTACTTAATTGAACCAATTAGTTGAACAACTTACAATCAATGCAATTTTCAGTTACCCAGTTTTGATGATAAAAGACTAAACTAATTAGATGTGTATCTAACATAATAACTGTTTATCATTATCATCAGCAACAACAGGCAAATTGAAAAAAAAAAGCTTTTTAATTGATCAAATTGATCAAATTATCGGCGTTAAATTGCTTTCATTTATCTGCTACAATTGCCAGCGATAACCCAACCTGTCAACAGCTACAAATTTAATTGAGAATTTTAAAGAAAGGAAGAAAATAGCTTAACTTAACAGCTGCTTTTCATTCATTAAAAACAACTTTTTTTGATAAATCAACCTTAAATATGATTATTTTATTCTTCTTTTCGTTTCTTTTAGCAAAGTTAAAAAAGTAGTCAAGTAATGCAAAATTATATTGCTTATAACGTATTGACTTCCGCATTTCACTACTCACCTTGGCAACAGGCTATAAGCCAAACCAGCTGTACATGAAGTTAGCCTACTATGTAGGCAGTTGAGTAATATTTTAGCACAGTTGTACAGAAGTAAAAGAAAAATTAGTTTTTTTTACCCAGAAGTTACCAGAATGTAATTAGTATAAAAAAGTGAT